AACATTCTAGATCCATCGACCCAAGGGACTAATCAAGTCAGTACCAGCCATCAAGAAGCAGCACCAGCTGGTAATGGTGATGTCCAGGCAGTTCAGGGTTCATCTAAACAAGCTCAAGGTACTACTACGAATCAGGTACAGTATAACCCTAGACCGTCTATACAACATGTGCAACAGCCGGCGGGGCAAGGTCAGAACCAAGTGATCAATTTTAGCACATCAGGCCACATACCATCGTTGGCTCAAAAAATAGCACCATCAATTCAAAGGATCCGTAGAGATATAGATCCTCATGTCTATAATCAGAGACTTCAAGCAGCAAGCCAGCAAAGGACCCAGCAGATGGAAATTCCATAGGGTTATCATTATGGCACAGATTATAACACCCTTCACATGATTACGAATCCAGGGTATCAAGGCACACGGGATTTCAATCCACAGATGGGTCAGCAGGTGCAAAGAAATCCAAATTCAAATGCTAATGAGTTGCTGCTGAAAGTGACTGAGATGATGAAGAATCAGTTCGGTCTGAAGCCAAAAGGGCTGACCTTCTCGTACAAACGCCCATATCCAGAATGGTATGATTTGGTCACTCTTCCCACAAATTACAGGCTCTCAGAGTTTGCTAAGTTCACTAGCCAAGACAGTACGAGCACAATAGAACATGTCAGTCGGTATCTTACACAATTGGGCGAAGCATCAGTTGAGGATGCCCATCGAGTTCATTTCTTCTCCTTGTCCCTATCAGGGCCAGCCTTCACTTGGTTTTCATCATTGCCAGTCAATTCCATTGCCAATTGGGCTGACCTAGAGAAGAAGTTTCATACATATTTTTACACTGAGACTGGGGAAAAGAAGATAACCAATTCGACAACTATGAGGCAGAAGACTAATGAATTGGGCACTGAGTTTCTTCAGAGGTTCCGAGAAACTAGGAACTTGTGCTTCTCCTTAAACTTGGCTGATGATCAACTAGCTGCTTTAGCTGTTCAAGGAATGCTGCCAATGTAGAAAGAAAAGCTGCTGGGACAAGAATTTGATAACTTGGGTCAATTGGCTCAACGAGTGGCAGCGCTCAATAGCCAATTCCAGAGTATGCGCAAAGATACTCGATTTTAGAAGGGTACCACAGTGGCTGAAGCTTACAATCCATACTCAGTCAATGATGGCTATGAAGATGACGAGGAAGAGGTTGCTGCGGCTGAATGGAATTGGGGCAAAAAGACAGTGATGGTGCCAAATCCTTGGGGAAGAGGAGTCGAGGAGAGCTATGACTTTAATATCGCCAAATCAGACAAGCTCTTCGATTTCTTGCTTGAGAAGGGGCAGATCAAGCTGCCCGATGGTCATGTTATGTTGCCCCCTGATCAGTTGAAGAATAAGAAGTTCTACAAGTTCCATAACGCTACTTCTCATTCCACTAATGAATGTAGAATTTTCCGGCAGCATATACAGAGGGCTATTCAGCAAGGAAGGCTCAAATTTAACACGCCTCGAAAAATGAAAGTTGATGATAATCCTTTCCTAGGAGATCAAAACATGGTTGATGCTAGACTGATCAAAGGAAAAACTAAGGTCCTGACATCAACCAAATCAAAAGAAGCTAGAACAGTTGATCCCAAGATGCAAATATCGGCCGACGAATACAGGGAAATTAAAAGATGTCGCGAAGAGCAAAAGAGCCGATATGAGCAGGGAGGAATGTCAAAAGCAGGGATGACAAAACCATGAGTTACATCTCGGATACTGTTGAATAAGTGGCAGTGGCAGAAGGAAAAGGATTATCAGCGTTGGTTAAAGGATCAAGAATACCAGCGTCAACTAGAAAGAGAGGTATGAAAGGAAACAAGCCGAATCACAATGGAATTGTCCTTTCTTCAGACATTGCTGGAATGAAGGTTTGAAGTTGTCTACCAGACATGACTATCCAGAATACAGCAATCAGTATTGGGAGTTTAGGCAATCTCAAATCAACCGCCAGTCTATCCATGCTCAAGATGCATATCAACATAATAACATGGATCGGTGCTTAAAAAATAAAAGTGTTCATGATCGTCTTGGAAAGCGAGTTGTTGACCTAAGACTGGGCTGATTATGGAGAAGAAGGCAATAAAAGAAAATATGTTTGGCAGGAAGGCCAATGGTGTCTGGGAGGTTTAACAAGAAGCTAGAAGAGAAGGGTGCAACGCCTAAGGAATAAAGAGATGGAACAGGCTCAGGCATCCGATAAACCTCAAGTGTGGCATACTAAGCAAATAGCCGATAGAAAGCAACCATCGGCTAATATCCAAATGGCTTTTCTGTTGCCATCGGAATTCAGAGCTCCGGCAGATCAAGAAGTGTATTCGGATTTTGATGAATCAGAGTATGAGGAGATAGTTGTCAAGTTAACGGTTGTACAACAAGCAATATTTGATAAAACCAGTCAAGCATCGGCACTTAAAAGCTTTATATATGAAAGGTCTTGTTGATGGAAAGCCGATGAACAAGATGTTAGTGGACGGAGGTGCTTCTGTCAATCTTATGCCTTACGCCACTTTTCGTAAACTTGGCAAAGGACCAGGAGATCTGATGGAAACTGACATGATGCTTAAGGATTTTGGAGGTAATGCATCTAAGACTCGGGGGGCAATAAACGTCGAACTAACAATCGGAAGTAAGACTCTGCTCACCACATTCTTCATCATCGATGGAAAAGGGTCATACAGTTTGCTCCTTGGTCGTGATTGGAATCTTGAGAACTGTTGTGTACCATCAACCATGCATCAATGTTTGATCCAATGGCATGGAGATGATGTCGAGTTGGTTCGTGCTGATGGCTCTCCATGCCTTAGCCATTCTAGCAAGCCAAGGCAGTCATGCCCTGTTAGGAGCAGAGCAGTGCTCCAAATCTGACAACTGCAACGAACAGTCATGTGGGGCGACGTGCGCCGTCTTGGGGTTCAATGTTGTTGGGGTATGCAACATTGTTGGTGGGGTCTCGTCCTGTTGTTGCATCCCAAAACCATCCACCTCCATCGGCATCCGCCACTAGCTTGTTCTCTGATTCATCAATTTGTCGATTCATGATAGAGAAACTGCATTTTTGTTAGCAATATGCAATATGTTCTTCGAGGGACAAATGTGTGGCACAACGTATTACATCCATGTGCATGGCAAATAAGTGATGGCGTGTATCCTTAAATCAATTTAATATATAAAAAGTGGTCATGCAAAACTTCACATTATGACGATACGTTTGATGATTTCTCGTTCTGCCTTGTTTTAGCCTTGTCAACCCAATTCCCAATGATTGGTAACAAGCATTTGGATGTGATGTCCTTCTTGTTGGTGTGTGATGTAGTGTGGATGGGCTTGCTATCCTAGCCTTGTCCAGTCCTCCTAACCAGTGTGGGCTTGTTGCTACTTTTTGCACTGCCAGTACTGCTAGATTGGGCACAAATGTCACCTCTGTGATAGTTAGGGTGCTTGAAATTGTGATATAAGGAGATGCATCTCCTACAGAGGGCACTGGGGTGACAATGCGATAGATGGGACTCATATAGATGTAGCTATTGATTAGTTCTCTAACAACGACGATGAGACCAATGCCTCACAGTTCATCATAACCTCTAGAACATACAATTCCATAGCATATCCTGATGACAACTCAAGGTTCTCTTGTTGCAAACTCCTCCGATGATCTACTAGGAAACGAAAAAACTATGTGTAGAATATGTTTCCTACTGAGGGTATCATGGGCGATTGAGAGATCCATCCATCCAATCGACAAAAAATAATGTATTAAACTTTTTAACTTTTTTGTACCTAAACCTCTCCCAGTCCCCTTGATGTCCAGCGCATCTCTCTACAAGATCTGACGACCTTGAAGGTGGCTTTGATGATTTTATGGTAGCCCCGTTGTTCAATTTCCCCATGGGTCGTCCCTTGAGGGCTTCATGGGTCTTTTGGGCAAAGAACTAGCATTGAACCGGCCTGTCCGTAAAGCTAGTCAGCCTCGCCGTTTAGATCTATATCCATTGTGTATCTTGGAAATGTGTAGCCTAGACAATCAAGCCCATGCTAGTGTGTGACCAGAATTCGCATCAACACACCTTTTATGAACTTTGCTGGGGAAGGAAGCAAACATATCTTCTACTATGGCTGATGGTATGCAAAATGGTCCGACTGATCCATGCAATCCCATGTACATCATGAAGCCTTTGGCCGATCAACTTCCTAATGGGATTTGCAAGATGCTAGAGAAGAGGGCATAGGCCGGAGTTGTTACTAACCTATAGTATGCTCTAGTGTGCTTTAAAGTGGATCAGCTAAAGCCTTTCGAGAAGATTAAAGGCATCAAAATTGATTTTATTCCTGCTACAACTTCATCTGAGGTAAAAACTCCTCAACCACCTCCAAGATCTGGGGGGAGGGAATTTTACTCAACTGACCAATAATTAGCTGCTATTAGTTTGGTGTGCTTAGGAAACAAGATAGCTGTTGGCTTGGTGTCCATCTAATAGTTAGCTAACCTAATACCCAGGTCTATTGGATCCACCACAACTAATTTTTAGCAGCTAATAACTACTATCTGGTTGGATCCAACCTGACCCTCAAATCATGTTAAAGTGTTGTTAATTATGATCAATATAATATTAGCAGTAATCAAAATTGATATGGTGTATTAGCAGCCAATAAGTGCCTATGCATGGTAGATTGGTATGGAGTGAATCTATATCATTAAAAATTTGATTTTCAAGGATCAAAATAGATATGACATTATTAGGCAGCATATGCTTACTTATGAAGTAAGATGAGAAATTGTAAATATATGATTTAAATAGCTACCATCGGTGTCAACATCGAGTGGGTAAAATATATTAGAGGATATTGGTGCTACAAGTAAAAATCTCAAGGTATGATATTTTTTAAGGAAAAATGACAAAAATTAATTGCTCAAGGTTAATTTGGTTGTGGCTCAAGCCTATATAAGAAAAGACCCACAAGCATAGGGGCACTCAATTCTCTATAAGCGAACAACCACAAAGCATAGGAGCATCATCAAGGGACCAAGTAGCCTCTACTTTCGGAAGCCTAGCCTGGAGCATCGTGGCGTGTTCCAAGAAGACTCTCGTGATTGTCGTTGTTCCGCTGCTGATGGCTCTCCTTGCCTCGGCCGTTCCAGCAAGCCAAGGTAGTCGTGCCCTATTAGGAGTAGAGCAGTGCTCCAAATCTGACAACTGCAACGAACAGTCGTGTGGGGCGACGTTCGCCATCTTGGGGTTGAATGTTGTTGGGGTATGCAACGTTGTTGGTGGGGTCTCCTCCTGTTGTTGCGTCCCAAAACCATCCACCTCCATCGGCATCCGCCACTAGCTTGTTCGCGGATTCATCAATTTGTCGATTCAAGATAGAGAAACTTCATTTTTGTTTGCAATAGTAATATGTTCTACAAGGGACAAATATGTGGCACAATGTATTACATCCATGCGCATGGCAAATAAGTGATGGCGTGTATCCTTAAATCAATTTAATACATAAAATGTGGTCACGCAAAACTTCACATTATGACGATACGTTTGATGATTTCTCGTCCTGCCTTGTTTTAGCCATCTCTACCCAATTCCCAATGATTGATAACAAGCATTTGGATGTGATGTCCTTCTTGTTGGCATGTGATGTAGTGTGGATGGGCTTGCTAGCCTAGCGTTGTCCAGTCCTCCTAACCAGTGTGGGCTTGTTGCTACTTTTGGCACTGCCAGTACTGCTAGATAGGGCACAAATGTCACCTCCGTGATAGTTAGGGTGCTTGCAATTATGATATAAGGAGATGCATCTCCTACAGAGGGCACTGGGGTGACAATGCGATAGTTGGGACTCATATAGATGTAGCTATTGATCAGTTCTCTAAAAACGATGATGAGACCAATGCCTCACAGTTCGTCATAACCTCTAGAACATACAATTCCGTAGCATATCCCGATGACAACTCAAGGTTCTCTTGTTGCAAACTCCTCCGATGATCTACTAGGAAACAAGAAAACTATGTGTAGAATATGTTTCCTACTGAGGGTATCATGGGTGATTGAGAGATCCATCCATCCAATCGACAAAAAATAATCTATTAAACTTTTTAACTTTTTTGTACCTAAACCTCTCCCAGTCCCCTTGATGTCCAGCGCATCTCTCTACGAGATCTGACGACCTCGAAGGTGGCTTTGATGATTTTATGGCAGCCCCGTTGTTCAATTTCCTGAAGGGTCATCCCTTGAGGGCTTCATGGGTCTTTTTGGCAAAGAACTAGCATTGAATCGGCCTGTCCGTAAAGCTAGTCAACCTCGCCGTTTAGATCTATATCCATTGTGTATCTTCGACATGTGCAGCCCGGACGATCAAGCCCATGCTAGTGTGTGACCGGAATTCGCATCAACACACCTTTTATGAACTTTGCTGGGGAAGGAAGCAAACATATCTTCTACTATGGCCGATGGTATGCAAAATGGTCCGACTGATCCATGCAATCCCATGTACATCATGAAGCCTTTGGCCGATCAACTTCCTAATGGGATTTGCAAGATGCTAGAGAAGAGGGCATAGGCCGGAGTTGTTACTAACCTATAGTATGCTCTAGTGTGCTTTAAAGTGGATCAGCTAGAGCCATTCAAGAAGATTAAAGGCATCAAAATTGATTTTATTCCTGCTACAACTTCATCTGAGGTAAAAACTCCTCAACCACCTCCAAGATCCGGGGGGAGGGAATTTTACTCAACTGACCAATAATTAGCTGCTATTAGTTTGGTGTGCTTAGGAAACAAGATAGTTGTTGGCTTGGTGTCCATCTAATAGTTAGCTAATCTAATACCCAGGTCTATTGGATCCACCACAACTAATTTTTAGCAGCTAATAACTACTATCTGGTTGGATCCAACCCGACCCTCAAATCATGTTAAAGTGTTGTTAATTATGATCAATAAAATATTAGCAGTAATCAAAATTGATATGGTGTATTAGCATCTAATAAGTGCCTATGCATGGTAGATTGGTATGGAGTGAGTCTATATCATTAAAATTTTGATTTTCAAGGATCAAAATAGATATGACATTATTTGGCAGCATATGCTTACTTATGAAGTAAAATGAGAAATTGTAAATATATGATTTAAATAGCTACCATCGGTGTAAATATTGAGTGGGAAAAATATATTAGAGGATATTGGTGCTACGAGTTAAAATCTCAAGATATGATATTTTCTAAGGAAAATGACAAGAATTGATTGCTCAAGGTTAATTTGGTTGTGGCTCAAGCCTATATAAGAAAAGACCCACAAGCATAGGGGCACTCAATTCTCTATAAGCGAACAACCACAAAGCGTAGGTGCATCATCAAGGGACCAAGTAGACTCTACTTACAGAAGCCTAGCCTAGAGCTTCATGGCGTGTTCCAAGAAGACTCTCGCTATTGTCGTTGTTCCGCTGCTGATGGCTCTCCATGCCTCGGCCGTTCCAGCAAGCCAAGGCAGTCGTGCCCTGTTAGGAGCAGAGCAGTTCTCCAAATCTGACAACTGCAACGAACAGTCATGTGGGGCGACGTGCGCCATCTTGGGGTTGAATGCTGTTGGGGTATGCAACATTGTTGGTGGGGTCTCCTCCTGTTGTTGCGTCCCAAAACCATCCACCTCCATCGGCATCTGCCACTAGCTTGTTCTTTGATTCATCAATTTGTCGATTCATGATAGAGAAACTGTATTTTTGTTAGCAATATGCAATATGTTCTTCGAGGGACAAATGTGTGGCACAATGTATTACATCCATGTGCATGGCAAATAAGTGATGGCGTGTATCCTTAAATCAATTTAATACATAAAACGTGCTCACGCAAAACTTCACATTATGACGATACGTTTGATGATTTCTCGTCCTGCCATGTTTTAGCCTTGTCAGCCCAATTCCCAATGATTGGTAACAAGCATTTGGATGTGATGTCCTTCTTGTTGCTGTGTGATGTAGTGTGGATAGGCTTCCAGAGTCTCAAGCTGCCTCAAACAACCCAATGAATTCGGCAGCCTAGAGATCTCAGTGCATCCTCGTAGGGAAAGATACTTGAGGCGGCAAAGCAGCTTCATCATTTGTTTGAGGTCTTCATCTTTTAAACCAGATGCATCCTCAAGATCCAGAACCCGAAGTAACCTCATCCTATCAGAGATGAAGAATGACCTCCATTCTCCAAACACTGTCAAAGACCGTAGCCGCGAGAAGTCAATGCTCTCAAACACAATTCTGTCTCTGTCCCAGCTTTTCAGTATGATGAGGTGACACCCCGTGCGCTGAGAGGTTAGGGTGCAACTGCCTCCCAGTTCAAATACAAGGTTCTCTTCCATTTGACGTGAGATGATATACTCTCGGACAAAACTGTTGACTTGGCACAAAGTCACTCTTCTGCCACCGAATGCAGAGGTGACTGAATATGTTTTCAGCATTATTATGCTCAGATCGAGGAGCCTGTAGAAGAAGTGCTCCCCTCTCTCCTCCGCAGAAATTTTGTCCGTGTCCCTGGCATAGCCCTCTGCAATCCACCGTCTCACCAATCGCCTTCTCCGGATGATGTGATCTCTAGTTCGAAAGTAGGAGTGCAGTCAAACAAAGAGTGGCTGCAGGCAAGCAAACTCTGGGCTGCTCTCCAGCTCTTGCATAAATTTGAGATTCAAAGAACTTGCACTATCCATCCATGTGCCTGTTTTAGGTGCCAAAAAGATAGCTACGGCAACTATCACTTTGGGAAGACCGCCGCATTTCAAAATAAGTTCTTGTAGCTCTTCATCTTTGGAGTCCTTTATAGGAGATGATGGTTTTTGCCTTTGTACCTAAAGTAGGACAAATGCTTTCAGCATGGTAAGCAAAATGTGTTTTCATTCACAAAATGTATGCACATAATGAACATACGCTTCATAGTCAACTTGATATATGCATTAACATCACAGAATAATGGAAATATATACATACTGAAATTGTTCAGTAATAATTGTTTTTTTGAGGGAATTCAGTCATAATTGTCTTAACTACAAATGCAAAATGAAGTGAAAGGAAAAGGCAGAAATACATTACTATTTTACTACAATTAGTTTCTTGCTTTAACAAAAACAAAATCTTTTTATATCGTGTCTGGTAAAAGTGAAAGACAACGGAAGAATTTTCCATAAAAATATATTATTTTGGTCCCTATTACCACTTAAAACAACATCTATTACCACTTAAAACAACATCTGGCCCTAAACATTTTTATGTTCTATGCAAATGTCATTTTAGATGAATTCCATGTATGCATATTTATCCTGATAAAAAAATATTAGACAAATTAATCTTATGGCAATAATAGCGCCAACAAACATGGGAATCCAGTATTCAAATGTAATATTGGCCAAAATTTAATATTGACAGCTCTGACCATGCAGAATCTGCTATGCAACTTAGTTATAAATTTGAAATTTTCAGGAAAATTGGAGAAATGGTGAGAGCCTGCTGATTGATGGAAAGGTTATTACCATTTTCATTCCTTTCTTCCCGCTTTAAAGATAAACATTCCCTCTAGTTTTGAAGCTTTTAGTCCCAGCCACTCTTCCTGTACAACTACAAGTTGTGGGTTGCATGCAAAATATGCCCCATGGCTATTTATTAGTGTAGGAGGAATAGAATTAGGTTGAATTAGATTATTTGCATTGAGCCTCTAGGGCGGTATATACAGAGTTTACATGACTTGGGGGATCAAGCAGGTACATGGGATCATAATCCCAACTAACTCTATCCTAGTCATGATATACTCCAACAATTAGCATTCGTTCTCAAGGGAGAGATAACAGCTTCAGGTTGTTCTAATCAAATGAATGAATGGGCAAAGAAGGTGAGAAGGGACTTTTGCATCAGAATTTAAGTTTGTAAAAAACATATGTACGCAGGAAATTATGTTGAAATGATGTAGAGCAGATTCTTATTTCTGAATAAGCCTACCTGCTTTTTGAAGAGCTTGAGGGCTGCTTTGTCTTCTAGACCTTTGACATTAAATATGACCCCTTCATTGTCTGCACAATGTGTGGCAATGCTTGCTTCAGTTGTAATGACAATGATAATATTCGCTCAAAAAACATGACAATGAGAATACTTCTAGAAGGTCTAGACAACAAGGCAGCTTGTATTAAGTCCCATTCTTCCATGGACTGCAGATCATCAATAACAAGGCACCGGTTATCCTCTATAATCTTATGACACTCTTGAGTAGGGTCTCTGATTCCCATGTCTTGAACAGGTTCTGAATAAAAACCCAAAAGCAAACTCCGGGAGAAGTCCCTTAAATTGAATGGGTAGGTTACATCGACCCAACCATACTTGTCAAAGTACATGGTCCTAACGAGGGCTGATTTCCCAACACCGGCTATCCCCCAGACAGACATCATTTGCAAACCATTGACATATGCCTTAGCAATATAGTTACCAAGTTGGTTCATTTCTGACTTGCGTTCAACAAGTTGAAAATTCTTCACCCAATCTGAGGCGGCCTTCCGTTTAGATGCTGGAATTCTGTAGTAGGACAGGCCAGTACCGTGGGTTGCTTCATCCTGCATTGATATTTCATTGCTGTTGTCTACCACTCTATCAGATTTCATGCTTTTGTCACCATCACCTTGCAAACCCTGAAACGGAAGATTGGTACAGAACCATATAAAGGAATTAAAGACCAAGGGAAGGTGATTTGCAAAGAGTGGAATAGGAAAGGAGCAGCAACGATGTTTCTGTGCCGAAGTCCTACATATTAATGGATACTTTAAGATTACAGTATGTGCAGGTTCTGAAGTTCTTTTTTTTTCTCCAAAAGATTACAGTATGTAGTCAAGATGAGATGCTTCTCTGGTCTCCGCTCTACAATACTATTTCGCTTGCAAGAAATGGAATTGATGAGCAGCAAATGAATACTCCCTCTGACCTAAAAAGAATGCAATTCTTACTTTTTGAGAAGTCAAACAATTTAAGTTTGACAAACCTTTTAAAAATACTAATATTTATGATACCGAATAATTATCATTAGATTAATCATGTAATATATTTCATAGTACACCTATCTGGAGACATAATATTGATAGTTTTCTATAACTTAGTCATACTTAAAAAAAATGACTTAGTTCAGATCTACAATTGCACTCTTTTCGGGATGGAGTAGATATAAAAACAGCATAAACAACACTAATGATTACTTTTGTCATTTTCATCCCTTCCAACTGAAATTTAGTTTAACCTTGAACACTAACATTGTTCTAGTTAAATGATGTTAAAGGTTACCTCCTCGAAGAAGACGCATACAGAGTGCTCTGCTGAGACTGCTTCACCTCCCATACTTGGTATAAATGTCCAATGCACAAGCTTGCAATTTCACACTGCTGCTTGGATACAATGACCCAACTGCCATTCTTCCTGTCTGGCAGGTAAGTCCTGATGGTGTCCCAATATCCAATTGTGGACATATTTTCTAGGACGACTAGTGTCGATGTTTGACCACCGATAGCCTGCCACGGGGGTCCCCGGGACAGTATTGTTCGGGCTTCAGCGTATGCAGAACTCGACGGTAAACGCAAGGGACAGTCGATTTATCCTGGTTCGGACCCTCGATCGATGATCGAGTAATAGCCCTACGTCCAGTCGGCGTTAGCCTTTGCGTTGAATTGATCGTAAAGTATTGTGTCGTACAATTGTTCTCTCAACCCCCGATCCAAGGAGCCCTACCCTCCTTTATATAGTCAGGAGGCCAGAGTCATAGTCGGTTTACAATGAGAGTTCCTAGTAGGATTACAAAATAATACTACTACTAAGATTACATGGCAAGAATCCTAGTTAGACTAGTTCTCCCTTCCTTGCGGGGTATCCCGTGGGTCCCGCACTGACAAGCCCCCGAGCACTTCATGGTTGAGTTCTGGAAGCATCGTCTTATTCCTTCAAGTCTTGTCGAGCAGGAACAAGCGTCGTCCGAGTGCTTTCTTGAGCGAAACCGTGTAGCGCTTCGTGAGATCTTCGCGTGGCGTGTACCTTTTTGAAGAAAAAAGTACTCCCATTTGGATGTAGCCCCCGAGCCTCTTGTTGTTTGGCACAAGGAGCTTGAGGGTCTTTTCTTGAAATCGCCCTGATTCTTCGTCGAAGGGCTCCCGAGCATATACCCGGGTTCTTTGTCGAAAAGAGCTTGGATTTAGCTATATCCGGGTTCTTTTTATCGTGTGGCCTTGAAGTCGTCTGTCTTGAAGAAGTCTTCTGAGTGACGTGCGCTTTTTTGAATGAAAAAATTCACTGAGTGTAGCCCCCGAGCCTCTTGTTATTTGGAACAAAAAGTTGGAGGGTCTTGAATCTTATGTTGTTTGAGAAACTGTTGTCTTGAAGTAGTCCTCTTGGTGACGTGCGCTTTTTTTAATGAAAAGGTGAACTCATTGAGTGTAGCCCCCGAGCCTCTTGCTATTTCGAACAAAAAGTTGGAGGATCTTGAATCTGAGTTGTTCGAAAGAACTGTATACCTCTCCTGTTGCAGTCCCCGAGCATATATCCGGGTTGTTTTGTTCAGGAAGAACTCGGATGCGGGGTCCTGGCATATTCTCTGGTAGTCTGCTGTTGTCAGATGTAGTTGTATGGTGGTGGTTGAGTGTGAATGTTGTTTATTCACGAGTTGTACAATGTTGGTATATTCTTCCGAATATGCTTGTCCTTGAGTACTGTTCCTTTACGCCTGAGTCCTTTTTCATTAAATTCTGTCTTTTCACTGTGTCCTTTGTTAGGCTAGTTTCGTTTGTGCTCCCGGTCCATGTGCACCGCTCATTCGGTCTATAAATACCCTCCTGGAGTGCTGTTTTGATTCGTTGAGCGTTTTGTTGCTTGTTCTGAAGTCTCTGTAGTCATGAATGTGGTAGTTTGTGAAGTAGAGCAACCCCCGGGTTTAATTTGCGGTTCTTTTGTGTCTTGCCGTAGCTGGAGGGAGTCTTGTGATAGGGATTAGAGGTAGGCTAACCCCGCAGCAGCAATGTACCAGGATGTACGTGGCGGTAGTTGGAGGAAGTCTTGTGATGTGGGCTTCGTTCCTTCATCTGGCAGTTCTAGGTTGATCCTCGTCGCCTGCCCTGAGACTGTCCGGTGCAGATCAACACCATATCCAGCATCACATCGGTCTTGGGTAGACAGATGCCTGCCGACCTTCTCCGCTCCATGTTGTCCTGCCGTGCTGCTGATTTCTGCCTTGGATGCACTGCGTCCGTCCTTTGAAGAAAACAGTGTAGCCGAGAGCGGTTTGTCCTTCCGAGTAGTAGCTGTCGATGTTTGACCACCGATAGCCTGCCACGGGGGTCCCCGGGGCAGTATTGTTCGGGCTTCAGCGTATGCAGAATTCGACGGTAAACGCAAGGGACAGTCGATTTATCCTGGTTCGGACCCTCGATCGATGATCGAGTAATAGCCCTACGTCCAGTCGGCGTTAGCCTTTGCGTTGGATTGATCGTAAAGTATTGTGTCGTACAATTGTTCTCTCAACCCCCGATTCAAGGAGTCCTGCCCTCCTTTATATAGTCAGGAGGCCAGAGTTCTAGTTGGTTTACAATGAGAGTTCCTAGTAGAATTACAGAATAATACTACTCTAAGATTACATGGGAAGAATCTTAGTTAGACTAGTTCTTCCTTCCTTGCGGGGTATCCCGTGGGTCCCGCACTGACAACTAGGTATCTGTTCTCATTTACTTTGTCCATAAATGCCTCAATGAGTCCGCCTTCCATTGTCGCCATTACCTCAATCCTCTTCAGTTCATCCACATTAATAACGATTCCTTTTTGCAGGCAACTGTTTGTGTAGAACTGAGCCACCATACTGCGGAGGAACTCGTGGGGATTGAAAGGTTGTGTAAGCTTCACCCAGCCACAACATTCAAATTTTCGACAGAGTTCTGGGTCCTGGTACGCCTTTCTGATGATGGATGTTGTACCAAGTTCACTGCCTGTTCCCCACACTGAGATTACCCCAAGGTCAGTTTGTTCCTTTGTGAGTAGCTGGGTGAGGTCTCCTAAACCTTGCTGCTTTTTTGCGGTGTCCCTCGCCTCAACCAAAATGCCAAGCACCATTGTGCCAAAAGCAGTGTTGGGTGCCGTCTGTTGCTGCATGATGAGCTTGGATCCAGAGTCGCTGATGAGGCTGTAGCGTGCGTTCCTTCAGCTCAAGTCCTCAACCCTAACCTTGAGCTGCTCTATCTCAGTGACCACCTCGTCTAAGGGCAATGCTGATGCTGCCAAGCAAGGTGGCAGCATGCGGCGCCACCAGCTTGACTTGTTGTCCAGGTGGGTGACAAACTGCCAGATCACGAACCTGCCTCACCCAGGTCCTCACAACGTTGTTCTTGACACGCTCCTCATTGGCAACATTGAGGAAGGAGTGCATCATCTCAAACTCACCAGCAATGAACACAAGGTTGTGCTGCACACTTTGCTGCAGTTTTGCCTCCTCCTCAATCGCCGACTGAGCCTTGGTCAGGGCCCCCTCCAACACCGTCTTTGCCAAGCCAACCACAAGGTCTGCCGTTGCTCTTCCAGTCTCTGATTCTCTCCTTAGTGGTAATAGCTAGCTAGGAATTGTCTGAGCACCTACAGATGGAGATGTTAGTCATCTAAAAAGCTGTTAATTGGACTTTGTTTATGTTATGACCGGGGTTCAGTACACCCGGAGGAGGGCCATTAGTGGCTAGAGGCGCAGGGAATTACAGGCTTGGCCCAATTTATTATTATTTATTTCCTATTATTAGCAAGGAGGAGAGTTATATAAGCAGATGTAAGACACTTTGTGATGGGAGGAAAAAGAGCAAACATAATTGCTCTCGGCTTCCTTTAGGGAGCCAGAGACCCCTGATAGAGCCTAGCTGCCTCCTTCTCTTCTTCTGCAGCGCAACCACGGCGCCCGTGGCCGCCGAGCGTGCCTCGGCCTCGCCCTCCCTCTCTCACTCGTACAACCCACGAACTCAGATCGGTAGGGATCGGATTCCTATCAATCGGCTATCAGAGATCTCTGGTTCGATCATGTCCAGCCCTCTACCGAGTTCTTCCCACCCGCCGCCGCCGCACACCCACCCGCCGCCACCGGCGTCTTCGTCAGTCTTGCTGCCCACATCAGTAGCGCCCGGCATTGGTAGCGTTAAGCGTCCTCGGGCGATCGCGCCCTCGCCCGGCGCCGTCGTCTCCCCGCCGCCCTCGTCCTCACCCCGGAGCGGATGACGGCCGCAATCCTCGAATTAGGGCAGGCCGTGGCGAGCATCGAGGCCTTCCTCGTCGGGCCCTATCGTCCCAGCCACACGCCCGGTTTGCCACCTCCCCGCCGCCACACTGTGGCAGCTACCCCCGCCGACGCCGCCGCCGCCCTCGGCCGCGAGCACGGCGCCGGTCATCTCGTACCAGTATGGGATGCCCTACGACGAGACTGCGACGACCTCGTTCCCAGCCGCGCCGCCACCGTCCCAGGGCATCCCCATCCAGTAGATCAGGTTCCCGTCATCGCCGTCACCGCTTCTGGCTTGGATCGCCGGTTCGTCGAAACCCATCTACACGGCACCCAGTACCCAGCCGCTCCCGACCACCGGGGCTATCGTGGCGCATGGCGGCGCCCCGGCTCCAGGTGTCCTCTACGGCGGGGTGGACGGTCCCCTGTTCCACGGCGGCAGCCTAATGCCGACGCTCTCCGCCGCGTCGCCCTCGCTGGACAGCACGAGCGCAGCGCCCGAGGCCGCCGCACAGGACCCGCCGCCGCCCAAGTTTTACAAGTTGGAGTTCGCCACATACGACGGCTCCGTTGATCCCCTAAATTAGCTCAACCAGTGTGAGCAATTCTTTCGGGGTCAGCACACGCTCGCCTCCGACCGTACCTGGCTCGCCTCCTATCATCTCCGGGGGGCGGCCCAGACTTGGTACTACGCCCTCGAGCAGGACGAGGGCATGCCACCGTGGGAGCGCTTCAAGGAGCTGTGTCGTCTGGGGCGCTTCGGCCCTCCGATCCGCGGGAGTCGGCTGGCTGAGCTGGGCCGGCTACCGTTTGTTTCCACTGTGCAGGAGTTCGCCGATCGCTTCCAGGCGATGGCATGTCACGCCCGGGACGTCTCCACGCGTCAGCGGGCCGAGCTCTTCGTTGGTGGCCTTCCAGATCATATCCGGGTGGACGTGGAGATGCCGACCCCCCGGACCACCAGACGGCCATGTACTACGCCCGGGCGTTCGAACGTCGTGCGGCTGCCATGCAGACAGGGCCGCCTCCTCGAGCCGCTCGTCCGGCTCTGCGTCAAGGTCAGCCTCCTCCGACGCGCGCACCCGGGGCGGCCCAGGCGGGACAGGCCCCCGTTGCGGCCAATGCGGCCCCCGCGGTGCGCCCGTTTCGCCGCCTTACACCGGCGGAGCAGCTGGAACATCGTCACCAAGGACTATGCTACAACTGCGACGACGAGCCCTACGTCCCTGGGCATGTATGTCAGCGGCTCTTCTACCTGGAGTCCGGGGACTACATTGAGGAGGACGCCGCGCCCGCCGAGGACGGGGACGCGGCCATACCACCGGAGGAGCCGGTCGCCCAGGGGCAGGCGGCTGCTAACGCTCTCGTCGTGTCCCTCCATGCACTTGCAGGTATCCGGACGGAGAACACGATGCTGCTGCCGGTGATGGTCAAGGGGGAGCGCCTCTTGGCCCTTCTCAATACCGACTCCACCCACAACTTCCTCCAGGGCGCAACCATGCGCCACCTGGGGCTTCCGCCCACCGAGGGGGCGCAGCTCCGTGTCACCGTCGCCAACGGCAATCGCCTGCATTGCGAGGGCATCGCCCGTCACATCCACATTAGCATCGGGGCCGAGGACTTCTCCATCACATGCGTCGGCCTCGACTTGGGCTGCTTCGACTTCATCCTCGGCGTCGACTTCCTGCGAACCTTGGGCCCCATTCTCTGGGACTTCGAGGCCATGACGTTGGCCTTCTGGCGCGAGGGTCGCCGCGTCCTCTGGAAGGGCGTGGACGGCTCTGACTCGGCCGCGCCGCAGCAGCATGTGGCGGCGACCTCCGTCGACTCTCAGCAGCCCTTGCTGGACCGCCTACTGCAGCAGCACGGCGCCATCTTCGAGGAGCCGCGGGGCCTTCCACCGGCCCGTCCGTACGACCACCGCATCCACCTCCTACTGGACACCGCTCCCGTCGCCGTGCGCCCGTACCGCTACCCCCAGCTGCAGAAGGATGAGCTGGAACGGCAGTGCGAGGACATGCTCACCCAAGGCATCATCCGGCCTAGCACTTCGCCGTTCTCGGCGCCCGTGCTCCTTGTCCGCAAAGCGGACAAGTCTTGGCGCTTCTGCATCGACTACCATGCCCTCAACGCCAAGACGTCCAAGGACAAGTTCCCGATACCGGTCGTGGATGAGCTTCTCGACGAGCTCCATGGGGCTCGCTTCTTCACCAAGCTCGACCTGCATTCGGGCTACCACCAGGTGCGGATGCACCCCGACGACATCGCCAAGACCGCCTTCCGCACACACCACGGCCACTACGAGTTCCTGGTGATGCCTTTCGGCCTCTCCAACGCCCCGACGACATTCCAGGCGTTGATGAACGACGTCCTTCGCCCCTACTTGCGGAGGTTTGTGCTGGTCTTTTTCGACGATATTCTCATCTACAGCTCTTCGTGGGCGGAGAATCTGCAGCACATTCCCATCGTCCTCAACGAGCTTCGGGCGCACCGTCTTCACCTTTAAGGGCTCAGTGCTCGTTCGGGGCGACGTCCACGGCCTACCTAGGCCACGTCATCTCTGCGGACGGCGTCGCCATGGACGCCGACAAGGTGGCGGCGGTCGCTGCGTGGCCCCCGCCACACTCCGCTCGGGGCTTCCTAGGCCTGGCGGGCTACTACTGGAAATTCATCCGGGAGTTCAGCCTCATCGCGGCGCCCCTGACGCGTCTCTTGCGACGAGACGCGTTCGCCTGGGACACGGAGGCAGAGGAGGCCTTCCAGGCGCTTAAGTGCGTCCTCACCACCGAGCCCGTCCTCCAGATGCCCGACTTCGACAAGCTATTCATGGTGGACTGCAACGCGTCTGGCGTGGGGTTTGGCGCCGTTCTCCACCAGGGTGTTGGACCTCTCCCGTTCTTCAGTAGGTCGTTTGCCACGCGCCATCTCAAGCTCGCGGCTTACGAACGGGAGCTCATTGGGTTGGTGCAAGCTGTGCGCCACTGGCGCCCGTATCTGTGGGGGCGCCACTTCCTTATTCGCACTGACCATTACAACTTGAAGTTCCTTCTGGACCAGCGCTTGTCTACCGTTCCGCAGCACCAGTGGATCAGCAAGCTATTCGGCTTCGACTTCACCGTCGAATACCACCCCGGGCGCCTCAACACCGTGGCGGACGCCCTGTCCCGCCGCGACACCAAGCACGGGGCCGAGGAGGACAGCAGCGTGGGCGCTGCCATGTGCGCCCGCTCAGGCCCCTCCTTCGCTTTCATCGACGACATCCGCCGCGCCACGGCGACAGCGGCGGACGCGCAGCTACTCCTTCGGCGCCTTGAGGCGGGCGACCTACAGGGGCCGTGGCGCCTTGACGACGGGCTGCTCCTGCATGGTAGTCGCCTCTTCGTCCCCGACCACGGCGACCTACGCCATCAGGCGCTCCTTTTGGCGCACTCGGCCGGGCACGAGGGCGTTCAGAAGACCCTCCACTGCCTACGCTCCGACTTCTACATCCCCGGCGATCACGCGCTGGTGCAGGACTAGGTGCGATCCTGCAGTACCTGTCAGCGCAACAAGACAGAGACCCTGCAGCCGCTGGAGGTTCCGTCCCAGGTATGGGCGGATATCTCCATGGACTTCGTCGAGGGCCTCCCAAAGGTGGGCGGCAAGACCGTCGTACTCACGGTGGTCGACCGCTTCTCCAAGTACGCGCACTTCATCGCGCTCGGCCACCCCTACACCGCCACCACCGTCGCTCGCGCCTTCTTCGACGGCATCGTCCAGTTCCACGGGTTTCCCTCCATGTTCAGCGACCGGGATCCGGTGTTCACCGGCCACGTCTGGCGCGACCTCTTCCGGATGGTCGGCGTCAAGCTGCGTATGAGCACGGCTTTCCACCCGCAGACTGACGGCCAGTCCGAGG